CTTGTCCTCGGCTGCATCCCTGCTCCATGTACAAGCCACCGCCAAAGAGGAGTAACCGTTGCTTTGAGATTTCATGTTGAGAGAAGTTATTCAACACAACCAAACAAAATCATTGTTTGGATGCCACGATGTTAAACCTAGAATTTTGTTTTGTGTATCATCAGTGAGTGAGTGGAGCTTCCCAGAAAGAATTGTCCCCAGTTGTATGGAGGGAAGTCCAACAAAAGTGAAGTCCACAGGATAAGAAGGACATTGAGGTGCTGGAGCTGGTCCAGAGAAGGGCAACAAGGCTGGTGAGAGGGCTGGAAAACATGCCTTGTGAGGAGTGGCTGAGGGAACTGGGGTTGTTTAGTCTGGAGAAGAGGAGACTGAGAGGAGACCTTATTGCACTCTACAGCTACCTAAAAGGAGGTGGTAGTGTTCCTAGTCGGTGTCTTCTCCCAAATGACTAATGAGAGGATGAGGGGAAATGGCCTCAAGCTGCACCAGGGGATGTTTTGATTGAATATTAGGAAGAATTTCTTCCCTGAGAGAGTGGTTAGGCACTGGAACAGGCTGCCCAGGGAGGTGGTGGAGTCATCGTCCCTGGAGGTGTTCAAAAAACGAGTAGATGTGGCACTTGAGGCTATGGTCTGGTGGTTATGGGAATGTTGGGATGGAGGTTGGACTTGATGATCCTAGAGGTCCGTTCCAACCATAATGTTACTATGATGTAATAACAGACTAGGTAAAAAGCATTAAAAGTCTTCAGATTCCCAGAAATAGTCTCACTTCAGTACATTTTTGATATTGCTTAAAATTCAACATTTTAGCTACGTGTATGAAAGTCCAGGAATTATGGACTTTCTTATCACCATGCTATTCTGCAAGTATCATTCTGGCACTTTGTTGAGCTGTGCTCTAACTGTACAGCACAGGTATCATTTCATACCCGGTGACTCCCACCCCATCCTGAAAAGTGCTGTTTGATATCATCACCTACTTTTCATGTCATCTGTCTTAGAAACAGATAACTTGGCTCAAGTTACAATTCTTTTTATCCCCTTACACCTTAATATTGAGCTGTGGCTCAACTTTATCAAATCTAACACTGAGGCAAAAAAAAACCCCAAAACCTATTTTGACCTTTTAAGCCCAGATTCTGCAGTAAACAGCCATGGCATCCTGCAGTAAGAGAGTCCCCTGTTCTTTATAACTTCAGAAGCTTCTGTTTCATCTTCTCGTCAAGTAAGAGCAATGACAGACTTCTCCCAAAGGGCTTTACAGAGACAGTTAGGAGATAGATTGTCTTTGGGAGCGGTACTTGATTTGCCAGCGGGGTGTGGTGATAACTTTGGCAAACACCTGAGATTTCAGTTTCCCCTTTCTCTTTCCTTGTCGTACCCTGCTCCAATAGCTGTGTCACTGTGTGGGTACATAATCCGCTGCAGAACAGAACCTGAACAAAGACTGCAGACACAGCCATAACCCAAATGATAAATCATCGGAATTTTCATAGATCTCTTCTTTTCTCCTAGGTTCGGTATAGTTGCCTTTTGTTTTGCCCAGTACAGCTCCAAATATTCTCCCTAGCTGAAGCCCCGGTGCTGATCGTTCATGAGGCATGCAGAAGTGTTTAGAGCACGAGGGACTCTGTGCCTCCAGGTGACTTTGTGTGGGTGACAGCCTGTACACAACGGACCCCACTGAGGTCAGCCCAGGTGCAGTTCTCCTCTGAAAGCAATGGTGTGGTCGTGGCCTCACGTGGAGAGCTCTCAGCAAAGTGATTTTTCTTCTCTACTACTTTTCTAACAAAGTCCTGCTTACACTTTGGGTGTTTATTATAAAGGAGTACTGTTAGTATTCTCTTCTGAATCGAGAAAGCACATGTGTATCACTGATTCTGAGCTGATGTAAATATAACCAGCTTCTAGGGGAAATTACTGTAATTAAAAGTTTAAAATTAACTTCATTAATGAATACTGTTTACCAGTTTTTCTTTTTTCAAAGAAAGAGAGAAGGAGGGAAAGAAAAAGAGAAAGAGAGAAAGAAAGAGAGAAAGAGAGAAAGAAAGAGAGAAAGAAAGAAAGAAGGAAAGGAAGAGAGAAAGAGAGAAAGAAAAAAAGAAAGAAAGAAAGATGGAAAGAAAGAAAGAGAGAAAGAGACAGAAAGAGAAAGAAAGAGAAAGAAAGGCAGAAAGAAAGAAAGGAAGAAAGGAACAAAGGAAGAAAGAAAGAAGGAAAGGAAGAGAGAAAGAGAGAAAGAGCCATTCAGTTTGACTGCCTTCCCAAAGCAGGTAGGTTTTGTCATTTGAGTTTAACTTTCCAAGTAACCCAGCAGCAATGAACAATTTTGTTGAGCTGAAAATGGGTGTGTTCAGGATTCACTGCAGAACACCCAGTCTCTCCACCACAGCTGTTCTAGGGATAGTTCTGGACACAAGGGAATGAGCTGCATGAGTTAAACTCTGTGGTGGGTTAACCCTGGCTGAGCAAGTGATGCCCACCAAGCCGCTTATCACCTTCCCCCTTTCCTCTCCCTCCTCCACAGAGCAGAAGGGGAAGGTAAAAATGAGATAGAGGCAGAGGCCTTGTGGGTAAAAACAAGGGCAGTTTAATTAGAAAGCAAAAGTTAAGCAATGCCGCAGACAGAAGGAAAGAGCAAAACCAAAGATTTATTCTCTCCTTCCCATCCCCAGGCGATGTCTGGCCTTCCCTGGGAAGCAGGGCTCCAAAATGTGTAGCAGTTGCTCAGGAGGACTGAGGAGTAGCTCCCCCCTACACTATAGACCAGCTTTATTGTTGAGCTGACATCAGATATGGACTATCCCTTTGGTCAGTTCGGGTCAGCTGTCCTGGTTATGTTGCCCCCAAGCTCCTGCCCCCCATCCCATGGGGGGGACTGTCAGAAAGAGCCTTGGTGCTGTGGGAGCACTGCCCAGAGGTGCTCACAACATGGGTGTTACCAACACCCTTCTGACTCCCAGCACAAAGGCCCTGAGCCAGGAGGCTGCAGCGGGAAAACCGGCTCAGCCAGACCCGATACAAACCCAAACAGAACATCGAGGTCTGCAGCCTTGGAGGGGAAGGCTGAAGTTCAGGGTCTCTACACAGTTTCATACTGAGGTGGTTTCTCTAAATTTTTCAGTCTTGCCTTGACCCAAGGACTGTGAAATATAGAAGACCGTGCCTGACACTTCCGTTCTACTCGGGTGCATATTTTGCAACACGTTTGGAGAACAACTGGTGCCGCCACACAAGGCAGCTCCATTCTTAGATCATGTTCCCAGTGCAACTCTTCCAGGCCAGTGGCTGTCCTAGTGCTGGTTAGCAGCAACTGGATATCCTCCTTCTAGCAAAAGTTCTGCTATTATCCTTACAGCCCTGCTCACGGAATTAATTTTAAATGTGTAGGATAAGTATTTTTAACTCAGTCTTAAAACAGGGGAAAAAATGTTTTGTGTCTATAACTACATGGGAAACAGAAAAAAACACCAACACCAAAACCATACAGCAGAGAAACAAAATAATTCCTCTGTTAATTGCTTAAAAAGAAACTAAGAAACTGTTTTTTTAAAAAAAATATATGCACGTTTGGGTGTTCCCAGCCTTTGTCAGGACTTTCTCAGAGTTCTAGCTAACAACGCTCGTATTGTTGTGGTTTAACCAAAACATTTGCTGGTCTCATTTGCTGAAAATGCTGCCTTTCCATTTTGAATCTGCTCTGGCAATTGAGCAAAGCCACTTCATGCTGAACAGTGCTCTATGAACAAGGAGCAGCATCTCCAACTGTTGTATATTGTTATATTTCTCAGACTGTTGTATATTGGCATGTTTCTTTCAAACAGAGACACAAATTTACACCGTTCGGGGATCTAGTCCTGGATTTGTGAGCACATTCCTGTAACTGTAGGGTAACACGGGAAAATCAAACTGTAGCAGCTGACAAGAAAGTAGGTACATTTTCTGCTACTGACGTGCTCCTAGTTTTCTGAGTGGAATTAATAAGAACAGAAGACATAGTTACATGCACGCTTGTGTTTTTGGTGGGGCTTTTTGTCCTTAGAGAAAGTCAGCTCTGAGCTTTTTTACTCAGTCATAACCTCTATGAATGCCTCTGGCTCAAGGGGACCCGTCTATGTGCATTCAGAACTGCTGACAGACAAGCCATACTGTGTTCCAGATACGGAAGGTGTAAGGGCTAATTTTCTATCAGTTAAATCACATTAATGTGCCTGATGTACTGCACATGCAGTGTGGAGTTATTCAGACCATCTGTTGTCAGCTACGTTAGGCACCTAACTTTAATACTCTGAATCACACCATTAGGCATCTCCCGTTCCCACTGACTCCACTGAAAATTTAAGAGTCTGAATGTGATGTGTTTAATTAAATAAAAGAGAGGTGGTTAAGGCAGACTGCCATAGGTGAAATGACCCTCATTATCAGAAATGACTTAGCTGGGTCTGTCTCCTGACACAATTAACTGCAGGACATAACTCATTAAACTTACTTGAGCTAAAAAAATAGAGGTGAGGACTGAATATATTCTTTGCTTCCTGAGCTCAACGCAGACAGTGGTAAATTAAGAAGAAAACAAAACAAAACAAAGCAAACAAACAAAAAAACCCATAAAAATGAAACACAGTAATAAATTTTTATTCCTGTCCTTGCTTCTCTCATGCACTGAGCTCAAGAACAGCTTTCCTTTGGACCCACAGAACTTCAAACCTGGATTTTAAAATGTGCAGTCATAGTTGATGCAATCAGCTGGTGCTATAAGAAGCAAGAGAAAGCCTCCTTCAGCTACTGTAAAACTGGTAACGGAAATGTGTCAGTTGGCATCACCCATTCTAACTGGAGTGGCCGATTTTAACTTTTTAGAATTGTCAAAAAGCACCTAAAAGCTTTGCAGGAAAACCTTAACCCAAAATTTTGAAATGCGGGGGATTTAAGGGAGAAGTAAGGACATTCAGAACCTCCCTCAGGGAGGTGCCAGTGGATATGTCCTATAACTTCAGGAAACTACATTTTCACATGTGAATTTCAAGGGCATATTTTGAGTGCCTCAAAAAGAGATCATTGTTGTACCTTGTCTTACGTGGTGAAAGAAACCTACTGAAGGAGAACTCTTTCCTTCAGGAAAGGAGTGGAGTTGCAGAAATGTCTTTATTTCACAGGAGTTTATGTCCTCCCAGATACTTCAAATGTATTTACAGAAGCTCTCATTACACACAAGACCATCTCAAATGTTCCAGCAACCTAGTGACAAGCCTTAATTTTCATGTCTGGATTATGACCAGCAGAAAGTTCAGAGGCTTAGCTCTTCACAAAAATAATGAGGCAGAGCCTCAGGTGCTGCTAAATGCCACAGTCCCGACCCCACGCAAGCCTGACAGAAAACACTTAAATCTGGGAGTCTGGACTCAGACCTGAGCATAAAATCAATGCAGCTTCATGTGGGAACAATTTATTCTGTAATTTTGCCTAGTGTTTGATTTTCTAAGCAAATTCTAGATATTCAGCAAGTCATAGGGTCACACTTAGTGATTAGTTGTTGCCGAAGACAAAAAAAAAAAAGAACAAGTGTGGTTAGTGCAGGCTGTAGTATGTAATTTTGGTGGCCCTCAAGCTGTGCCCCGGATGTTACTGTCAAGAGCAGGACACACAACATCCATATCTCACCTGTAGGAAGTCAGGACTTAAATGTCTGTTTGAGAAAAATACTTAAACTCCCTACCCCAAGGTACAGCTACACGTAGAGTAGTTTTGAAAAGTAAATAAACCCCATGCAGAGAGCATTCACCCCACACTTTATCGCTGAGGGAGGGAGCATGTAACTTCAGTTTCTGTCCTGTGCGGGAGAGCTGCAAGCACAGGTGAAAGCTTTAAGGGGTTGATTTCTGAAGAGAAGAGGGGATTTCACCCGAAACAAAGCAGGTACTAAACGTGTAGGTGTGAAGAGAATACCCAAGAAAGCTGGAACAGAGAGGACTCACGGTCTTTTTGGATAGCCTTCCGGAACTTTGCCAGGTCCACGCTGGGGGGCCTGCTGGGCTTCTCCGGGGGCTGGCCCAGCTTGAACAGTGGGAGCAGGGCTTTCCGCCTGGGGACTCCTGAGCCCCTGTCCTCCTTCTCTTGGGATCCACCTGATGGCTTTCCTGCAGCAGGCACTGTGTTCATCGCAGGCAACTTAGGAGAAGAACCTGACTCTTCCTGGACGGTTTTCTTGGGAAAGATGCCCTTTAGATTATCAGTTTCTCCTTTCTCTCTCAGGTCCTTCCCAGTTTGGGGTGCATCTTGAAGTGAGCTGGACCAGTGGCTAGTAGGCTTCAGAACTCTGCTAGAAAAATGACTGCCGGCAGCTCCTGCAGCACACTCACTACTTTCATCCATTTCCTTTGTTGCTTTAAATGGGTGTTTATTTGGTCTAGGGCTTGGCAGACTTTTTTCCAGAACCTTTGTATTAGGAGTGTATTTGTTGCGGGAGACCTTACATTTCAGAGAGGATCTCTGTCCAAGATGTGATTTAGAGGAGGAAGGCTCGGGTTCATTTTCTTGTACTGCAGACACGAACTCTTCTTTTGCTACTTCTGAATCGGCAGGTTTTGCCACGCTGTCCTCTGGTGCAGAATTTGAATTCAAGTTTTTTTGCCAAAGTTGTTTTCCTCTCTCATGAGGAGCAGGTTTAAGGAACTTGCTCCCTGAAGGTTTTGGATGCAGAGACTTGGGCTCTTCTTTTCCTGAGCCACTGGCTTTGGCGGGAGGCTTGGTGCATCCAGCATTTCCGTACCCTTTTCTGTCACTTGGCTGAAGATGAACCCCAAACTGTTGTGCCACCGTTTTCAAATACGAGGGCTGTAGACACTCCACTTTTTGATTATCATCTGGAGGCTTGACCTCCAGAGAAGGCTCAGGGTGAACAGGTTTGTGAGAGGTACCGGGTCCTGAAGAAGAAGGTGGGTTTTGTTGATTGGCAGAGCTCTCAAGTGCTCCTTTCCTCGTCTGTAATTCTGCATGGATAAGTTGTACTGGATATTTGAAGGGCTGACTGTTACCAGAAACATTCTCTGTGGAGCTGCTAGTTGCGTTGCATTTCGCCATGAGCTCCTTCACACGTGACTTGCCATCCTGTAAGCATAAAGAAGAGAAAAAGACAGAGGAGCAATGAGAAAGTCCCCGCTGCAATGTTCACACATACTGTACTTTAAAGAGTTTCCTGGTCTGAGGCTATGGCACTGCTGATTGGCTGTGGAGATGTTGTAGCACATCTTCCTGTAGCGTTTGAGAAGCTGGGTGTTTTGTTATATCCTTGCTGTGGTTATGCAGTCTTTTAAAACTTTCAGTGCAGGTGCTGCCTTTAGAGAATGGTCATGCAGCTCCTTTTGAGCATA